CCAAGCCTGGTTGCGTGAGAATGCTTCAGAACTGGGAGTTGGACATTGTGGACTTGACACCTTCTTTCATCAATGGGGTCCGTAACATGCCTTCTCTGCCCAACTAGGTGAGATGGGTCAATATGATGGGGATGAGACAGTCCCTCAGGTAAATATATACTCCTATAGTTGTTAAACTATATCCCCCCAGTTTGGAACTTCTCTGTCTTCAAAGAGTTTTGGATGTATCATGCAGTGCAAATTACAGCTTGACCCACCCTGGCCGGGTAGGTGGGTGGACAGGTGAGGATGTGACGTGGAAGGATGTCTCTGCATCTCGGGCTCCGGGATTGGCTGAACGAAATTTGCAAACTCTCAGCCTTTATCACTGGAGAGGAAAAAATCATACTGTAGGGCTCTGTGCGGTCAAGGTTCAGTTTGTGGCTCAAAAATTGAGCGTCGCCAGTTGTATGAAGGTGTAACCACTATTTTTGTACTATAGATAAATAGGTAGAAAAATGTTTTTTTTTCTTTTTTCTTTTCCTTTATTTCGTTTACACATCTATGTTTGCTGGTTATTTTTATTTTATTTTACACATTGTGGTAGTTTGCTGGTTTGTTCTTCGTAGATTATATATAATGTTTGATTTGCTCAAGTTGTATCCACAAGTTTTATATTTTTTTCTATCACTTATAATGTATACCGAATTAATATTTTTTCTTCAAAACAAACATTTTGCCCTTTTTTTCTTTTTTTCTTTTGCGATCCAGCTCCCAGTCAGGTGGATGGAACATTTTCCAGCGCTTAACTTTTCTAAAGGAAAATTTCCACGTCATACATTGTTGCATAATAATGAACGGATGCCAAGAGCAGAGAGAATATTAGGGAAATTTGAATGTTTCTCTTGTGGTTATCCCTAGCAGATTTGCTAGCGATGCCAACTTGAAATGTTCTGATGCAAATTACTCCATGACAAAAAGTACAGCTTGCTTAAGATTTTTTTTTTCCAGAAAATTTTCCCAAACCCTACATGTCCATTCCACCAACGCTTTTTGTAGCTGTTGCAGATTGTTTTTCAATGCAGCGGTGCAAACGCCTCGGGTGTAAGGAGGACGGAGTCCCCTCGGGAAGTGAGGCCATCTGCTCTGAAGGGGAGGAAGAGCCGCAGATGTTGGCTTCACCCCGCTAGACCTCTGCCTGGCCTAGATGTGCTCCTAGCCCTAAAGAAGGGGGAGGATACGGCTTTGCCCAAACCAGGGCATCCCCAGGAGGGGTCAAAAAAGTCAAGATGGCAGCCACGAGCACCCAATCAAAACCTTTTTTTAACGTGCGCTGCCTGGAAAAGGGGAAAAAAAGTACAATCTAAACATATCACATGGATTTCAACTATTAAACAGTATATAGAAGTTAGAATAAATAATAAAAATACACTATTGTTGCAGAAAATCTAGGCAAAGGGGGACTTTTTGCATCATTTTCTTGATTGGTTCTTTTCAAAAGCTGATAGGTTACACGTTTCCTGTATCCAATCCTTAACACTGGGAATAAGACTACTTTTCCAGTTCCTCAGAATGATTCATGCTGATATAGCTGTAGTTCCTTACAGTCACATTTCAGAGTTTGGGGACATAATTTAACATGACATTAACATTTTTCACATTCAAATCAAATCAAATCTTTATTATGGTCATAGATCAGCATAAAGTAGGCGAGGTACAGTAAAAATAAACATCTGAAAAAACGATGAAAAGCTAGAAGATGGAAAAGATACATGAATTAAAAACTGAAAGTATATAAAAATGAGAATGTAAGAAAAGGGGTGGGAGCATTAGAAGGATGTAGGGGAGCAGAAAAGGTTAGTATGTGGAAGGTGATCACGTTACAGAGCACTCTAAGATGGCGAAGTCGGGGCTCATGAAACCTAGTTTACGGCACAGGTCACCATCCGATGAATTTTGCGCGCTGCTGCACAGAACCTGGCAACATGGTATGTTGTACCAGGATTGGTATCTGAAAGGATTAACATTAAAATATTTCCCCATAAATCTAGGTATTATTCCAGAAAGATGCCAGTCACTCACAAGACCAAATCAGATGGGTCAGTGAGCCCCCAAATGTTTTGCATCGCCAACAAAGAAAATCTGGCATCCGTCCTTGAGGGGGCATTTTTTGGGGCATCCAATAAGCTTGAAATAAAATCTGATGAATCCTTTTTAGTCTTCAAGACTAAGACTATGGTTTCCAGCACCAGGATGGATTCACGCAGCCTCGGAAGCAGGGGGGATTCCAGGGGGTCCGAAACCAGCTGCCTTGGTGTTTTGGGCTGGGAGGTGTTCGGTGCCACAGAGCAGCTGCCGGTGCTCCTGCTGCGTTGCCTCCTCGGGCAGGAGGCGGCCTGGATGGTAGGTTTTGTGGGAGCCCAGCCCGCCTGGCAAGGTCAGGCTGTTGGCGAGTACAGGCGGGTGCTCTCGGGCATCAAGTAAAGGTGGCTTTATCTTTGTAAGCCTCATGTAAAAGGTTTGTACTAAGTTTGCTGCCCCTGCTGATGCCATAGTTAAGTTTGCTTTGGCCTGCTTCTGTGGGGCTGCACTTTATTAATTCACACTGATTTCCTTTGCATTCCCGAGTCATAAATTGCCTTGAACACAACTGAAAATGCTGAGTGAAACCAACCGAGTCCCTGCAGAGCCTTGGAGAGCGAGGGGCGTATTTCGTGGAGGATGCGTTGAAGCCTCTTCTCTCCAGGATGGGGGGGCGCATTTTCTGCTGGAGGAAGATGCTGTGCTGGACCTCCAAAGAACCCAAACTGGCTGAGGGGACGCGGTGGCTTTAGCCGCTCAACCCGTCTGGATGTCTCTTCCCGCTTCCTGGGGTTGTCCCCAGCTTGGCCGCCTCTTCACACTGGCCACATTTTGAGATTTGGGAGGAAGGCAAGAGACTGCTTGGGTACCCCTCCCCAGATTTTCCTGAAGGTTATCTATCCGGGGGACAATTCTGTCTTCCCTTGCCCAGCCACGTAACATAGAAAAAGATAACCACTTAATTTACTTTGTTAATGGCATTGTTAATGGAGCTGAATGAGAGTTGATTGAACAACACCGAGCTGCCTTGAGGTGCATTCCATCCTTTCGTTATCTGACACCAGAGGGAACTTTTGCTCTCCATTAGGAGCCCTCTGGTTAAAGGAATATCAGTCCTCCTGGAGTCACTCTTTCTTCAAACCAGGGAAGCATTTGATAATCTAGTAGAAGCAGGGATGCCCATGACAGAGTTACTTTCTAGTCTGTCTGTGTTCTGCGTCCTATGATTTCACAGAGCACAGAACTGAAATTGTTGAAAATCCAAATTACATTTTAAAACCCAGAAGCAGGTTCCTAGCACTCAGCGTTGCACACAGAAGTCCATATAAACGAGCGTGCAGCACTGGTGAGCTCTTTCTGGGGACATGGCCAAAGACCCAGCAAGGTTTGTGGCCTAACAGGGTGTGGCCCAGCCCCGGGGTCTAGTCCGTGCCAAGCTTCTCTTTGCTCCTTGTCTTTCAGCTCACAGCCATGGGAAAGCAGAACAGCAAACTGCGCCCAGAAATGCTTCAAGACCTGCGGGAGAACACCGAATTCTCTGACCTGGAGCTGCAGGAGTGGTACAAAGGCTTTCTGAAAGACTGTCCCACGGGCATCCTCAACGTGGAGGAGTTCAAGAAAATCTACGCCAACTTCTTCCCTTACGGTGACGCCTCCAAGTTCGCCGAGCACGTCTTCCGCACCTTTGACACCAACGGCGACGGCACCATTGACTTCCGAGAGTTCATCATCGCGCTGAGCGTCACCTCCCGGGGAAAGCTGGAGCAGAAGCTGATGTGGGCCTTCAGCATGTACGACCTGGATGGGAACGGCTACATCAGCAGGGAGGAGATGCTGGAAATCGTCCAGGTGAGCCCTCGGCAGCAAGGAGGACCTTTGGCTGATCTTCCTGCAGCCCACCATAGCAGAGCCTTCCTGGGGCGCTAGAGCCAAACTCAGAGGCCTGGACCCACCATCCAGCCGGGAGGCTTCTTTCAGCAGCCTGCGAGCTTAGCGTGATGGTCCTAACCAGGCTGACCAACCCGTAGTTTGCCAGCCCCATTTTTTCAGTCCCCAGAGGATGACACGCCTGAAATATGGTGGTGTGGTTTTTGGCTAGTTTTTAAAAGAGGCTTATTCAAACTTAACACGTAGTGTGAACTCACCACTGGGGCATGAAGGCTTGGTGAAGTGGCAGTGGTCAAGCCATAACTAGGGCGTAGGGCTGTTGCAGCAGGAGGATGGGGGAGGGAGTTAAACCTTGACGGGGGGGCAGGTAATATTTAAAAAGCCCAAAATGCTTCCCATTCTGCTTCACTTTGATAACTGTTTGGGTTACCTCTTGTTTGAAAAAGTGTATTCTCTGAGCAGCAGCTTTGGAGAGAACCACATCTGGGGGTGGGGATAGGGATAAACACCCCCCCCAGGAATACAAAGAGATCTTGATTGAGCTCCAGCATTTCCCAGTTATGAATTTGATGTGCTAATGAGTTAGGTAGCACGGCTGGGACTCCTGATTTCTCGATGGGCCGTGCAGGATGGAATCACTCGGATCCACTCAGCCTGGAGTTGGGGGCAGATCCTTCCAAGTTCAGCTCAGGCAACCTGCAGGGCAGTCGGGCCAGAGACCCACACGGAGACATAGCAGGGGCTGGGCTGGAATCACAACAGCCTTGTACCGCAACGCCTCATCCGCCAGCTCCCCAGTTTTGACCACCCCTTGCGGACGTCACAGGTTTCGTCCCATCGCTGCCACGTCTGCTGGCAGAAAGCTGTGCTCCCCGTCTCTGGTCAAGCAGAGGTGGAAGGCACGGTGGGGTGCACCACACGCTGCCCTTGCGTTCCTCTCCCTGCCCTTTTGCTTCAGTTTACCCCCCCCAAAATTCCTCGGTGTGATGGAAAAGCAGCTGGTGGGGAAGGGGGACCGCCGTTCTGGCAGTAGCAACCCTTTTGGTATTTTAGATTGCAAACTTGGGGTGAAAGAAGAGGACTGTCTCCATCGCAAGGAGAAAGCATGGCTTGGTGCCCGTGTGAACCTTGGAAAAACTCCCAGAAAGATCCTGGCCAGGTTCTTAAGCTCCGGGATCCACAGAATGGGCATAGCCGAACCTCGAAAGTCATGGTGAAAAAATAAAGTAAAATAGACCGATGGGTCTTGAAACTGATGGGCTTGAACCATGGAGTCAGCCTCCCCAGTCCAGGGTCCTCCAGATGTTTCAGACTACATTTCCCATCAAACTAGTAAGGCTGGCCCATAATCCAGCATTTTAGTTAAAATCCCTGGAGGGCACCAGGTTGGAGAAGATGGTAGCCAAGTGCCTTTGATGGAGGTGATGATTAAGGCTGAGGTACTGAACTCCCAATCAGGGGTATAATTTTAGCATGATATTGTTTATTAGACTTAGGGAGGGAGGAGAGGAAGGAAATACAATTTCTCATCCATCCAAAACCTCCCAACCTCAGTATACAGCAGTAAAGCGTCAGTTTCCTGCAGGCAGTTCTCAATCTGTTACCTCTCTTTCTTTCCCGCCTGCCAGGAAAGGATCAGAAAGAAAAACAGGCTTTTTTCTTTCTTTTTCTGTCTGGGGAAGTTCCGCCACCTCCCAAGCTCTGGGCAGATGAGTGGCCGGACGGCCGAGGGAGGCCTGGCCCTTTTGGCCTGAGCTCCGGCTTGTCCTTTCGAAGCAGCGCCTTCCTGACTTCTGGGAACTCCCATTTGAAGCCCCAACGCTTTAAATAGCTGAACGTCCCTGATCCAAATAAGAAGCCATGAAAATCACAAGTGAAGGGGCCCTGAAGTTGGCTCTCCCGGCTATTAAAATTGTCCCCCCAGTCCCCCCTGATTAATCAACTGAAGCCGTGGGTTAATATGCTGAGTGAAGTGATTAAAGCATGGAGCCCTAATTACCGAGTGGGAAAATCCGTTCTGCAAAGGGTAACTAATCTTAAGTGTGCTGTTAATCTAGCAATTAAACTGATTAAAGCTTTTAGCTTTAAGACAGAGAGAGATCCGGTGAGAGCAGGGGGAGCGCAGAGTTTTTCACCAGCCTTTCTCCCTTTTTTGTCAACGCTGCATCCGGCTGCTTTCTCTGCAGAGGTCCCAGCCCCGGCCGCCGAGGGGGCTGTGGATTTTCTGCCTTTGCTTCCCTTGTGGCTTCTGGGGAGGAGAGGAAAGGCAGAAGCTGTGTGGGAGAATAGGATGCTCAGCCGTGGGAGGCAGCAGAGCTCTCTAGAAATTCCCTGGTCTCTGGATGCCTGCTCAGCTTCTCTCCTCTCCTCTCCTCTCCTCTCTGGCTCAGCGCAAGAGTGCGCCTCCTTCGCCTTTGGTGGCTGGAAATTCAGGCTGCATTTGGGGGGGGGGAGGCAGAAATGCACGCCGAGAGGGCAGTTTAGAGCAAGGAAATGGTGGGACCGAAAAGGCTCCTTCGGTTCCCGCTCTCCTGCAGTTCTCTTCTGCTCCCCCCGAAAGTGGTTTTTCTAAAACGAGCAGACATCAGAGATTCATTTTATGCGCAAGTACAGAATGCATAGAGTAGAGGGATGTGCAGGGGGTTCCAAGGCCAGGTTTCTGGATATTGGCAGCTTCCAGAACTGATTCCCGGGTAAGAACTGGGATGGCACATCATGTTAAGCCATAATTTGTTTAGTTAGGGTTTATTGAATAAACCACAGTTAGGCTCACAGTGCACGCAACGCCAAAAATGCAGCTTAGCGTGTTCTGTGAACAACGTTGCATCAACGGAGCTTTGCTTGGTGACATTTCCCAGAAGAAAAACATGTTTCACTGTTTTTTAAAAACAGCATCTTCTGCGAATATTCCCCGGTCTGCCCAGGGGAGGAGGAATGCTTTGAAAGCCAAGTTCAGTTTGGGGGTTCTTTTTTATTCCACACTGAGATACAGTTTGTTGATTTTGATCACCTCTGAGCTACGGCACCTACTTTTGGGTTTCTTGGGGAATGCCAGAAATAGTTCAGAGGCTGAAAGATGGCTGTGAATCGCTTGGACTGTGTGGTGTAACTGAGTTTTAATATTTACGAGATCTCTTGGCAGGAAAGAAATGAACATTGCTGAGAGGGTGTCTTGTTAATGCAGGTAAATTAAACCTGAGGACATTTCTGTATCAGATTCTTGTTTTGGAGGCGAAAAGCATTTGAAAGGACACTGTGCAAAACGCACCAAGATGAGGTGCTTCAGAAAAGCTGGGACGTGCTTCTAAAGTCCTTGCGCTGATAAAGCATCTGCACGCGGTTTGCACAGACCACGCCAGCCCTTCGAAGTAGGCCAGGTCAAGAATCACCAGCAGCAGATATTCCAGGAATGCTCCATATGGTTATGGGGCAGGGTCACCGAATCTTGAAAGCCCGTCCGAGTTCCTCTTTGCCCCCCCCTTAAAGCAAGCAACATCAAGATGGGGTTGTTAGGAGCGTCTTTCTCATGCTTTCTGCTTCATCAAGCCTGATTAAGGGACTCCGTTGCTCTCTCCTCCCTTCCCAAGGCCAGGCCGGCATTCTTGCGCAGCCCTAACAGTTGTGCAGAGTGTGGCGAACAAGCTCTGGGGGAGGATTCGCTCCCTTTCCCATGCGGCACTTCTCAGGCTCGTGCCCGTGACGATAAAGCGGGGGGAGTCACAGGGTCGATAAAAGAAAGCTGTTTCGGCATGTCTTCTACCTGGAACGCGTGGCAATGAGTTAAGGGGCCAGGCAAATTCACGGAGGAGAAGGCTGGCGGGGCTCCCGCTCACGATGGCTGTGGCCGATCTGCAGCAATGGGAAGCTGGGGGTCTGCTTCAGGGGAGCAGCCGAAGCTACAGAAGATTCAGCAGCTGGAGGGCTAGAGGGAGCTGGGCAGAAAGGGCCGATGGCAGAATGTGTCAAAAAAGTCAAGATGGCAGCCACGACGGTGCATTCGAAGCTCTGCCGTTGCCGTATTTACTTTTTCTACTGTGCCTGGCAGGTGCCCCCAGCTGGCAGCTTCCTGTTTTCTGGGAGGGGCACCTCTCTTGCAGCCCCACAAAGCCGGAAAGTGTCTTTTGCTTATTGGGGGGAGATTTGCAACGTTTGGGGTTGGAATCTTGGAAACCTGTTGCTGGAGGAGGCTTGTCCTTCACCAAATGGCTGCCAAGGGGACCAAACCAGTTAGCGAAGTGTGGATTCGATAGGGTCTCCCCACCTGCCCCTCGGCCCTTCGTGACTGCTCACCTTCGTCCTTTACCTGGGCACGCAAGTGCAGTCCCAGAGGAGACGACAGGCAGGAGCGGCCCATCTTTCCCCTGGTCTAACGAAGCTCCCGAGTCCCAGCGGGGCATTCTTGGCGATGAAGAGAAGGCTGGGCCCTCGTTGCTTTGCAGACAGCTTCCTTTTTCAATTCCAGTAAGTTTTTAAAAGATATAAAAAGCCAGGTGGGGCAGGGACCTGGAGGACGCGGTGGTCCCCTCAGTTTCCAGCTCAGGCCCTGCAGAGGGGCTCAGTGCTTGAAGCGTCACCTGCCGAGTGACTGGAATGAGGGGCCCAGCAGGGAAGGTCGTGGTAGCGGGTGGGGAGCGGGGCAGAGCTCTGGGAGACCCCCGCTGTCACATCCTAGATTCTCCAACGGTGAAATGGGAGTAAAATTAAGGAGAAAAATTACAATGATCAATGAATGAACTGCTTCTTTTGTTTCTTTTAGCATGTCATAACTACACAGCACGGCAGGTTTATATACTGGGACTGGGCAGCACTTCGGATTCAGTTGCAAAGAGGCGATTTGAGGGTGTGGAACCGCAAACGTAACACATCTGGGCAACTCTTTAAAGCACCTGCACCTTCTTCGGGGTGGGGTGGGGTGCCACACCCTACAGGAGAAGGAGCTGCTTTAAAAAGTTGCAGGCGGCTGCCTCACGCTCCCCCCGAAGGTCTCTTGGGAATCGAATCCAAAGCACTGCAAGGGCCTCTGCGCAGAAATAAAAGGGCCATTTTTTTCTATGGTTGGTGGGAGGGATGAAAAATTAATGTTTTGTCCTAGAGCAGTGTTGTCCAAACTTGGCCACTTTAAGATGAGTGGACTTCAACTCCCAGAATTCCCCAGCCAGCCATGCTGGCCGGGTAATTCTGGGAGTTGAAGTCCACTCTTCTCTATGAGGGCAAGTGAGGACAACACCGGCCTCGGGAGTGCGGGGGAAGGC